GTAAATTAATAAAGCTAGCTCAGTCTCCTCCAAAGCCTCTTCATAAGATTTCTCTTCTCTACTAAGCTTAGAAAGGAGCTCTGGTAGCATAGTGGTTACGAATCGGGCTGCAACTCTCAGGGTCAGCAGTTTGAAACTACCAGCTGTTCCATGGGAGAAAGATGAGACTTTCTGCGCCTGTAAAGATTTACAGCCTTGGAAATGCTGTACAGGTTTGCTGTGATTTGGAACCAACTCCATGGCACATAACCACCACCACCACCACCACCACCACCACTAGGTTTAGAATCACTCACACAATTCTCTATACTGAGTTCATTTAACATCTCAAAAATGGGTATTCCCTCTCTACATTGAGTTCCTTAGAACCATACATTATATATGTTACATACACAGGAAACATTGCATAATTCATGAATCAGTAAAAAAAAAAAAATAATGTGGTTTAGAAATATGTTTATATCCCCTTTATATCTGACAGAAGTCTGGTGGTACAGTGGCTAAGTGCTTGGCTGCTAACTGAAAGGTTGGAGGTACTTTGCTGGAGAAAGATCTGCTGATAAAGATTACAGTCTTGAAAACCCTCTAGGGCAGTTCTGCTCGGTCATTTGGGTCATTATGAGTAAAAATCAAGGTGATGGCACTGAACAGCAATAAAAACTATATCTGACTTTTTCTGCTCAAGCTTTAGGATTCAGCTCATCTTCATGTCTTCTGGGAGGCCCCTTCTCATGAGAGTGGACACTGCTGGACACTAGCTTATGGGAGGGAGCTTCCAAAACTTTGTGGAACACAGAAGATAATGGAACTTTCCCACGAACTTTTAGAAGCTCCGTCCTTTGCCCTTCCATAGCTTCTTTATAACTCTATAAAAGCACTTGTCTTGCTTGTTACATTGAAATTCTCTATTTCTTTTTCTATTTTTCCTGCTCGTCAGTAAGGAGGGACAGGAAGCCCATCTTAATTGTTATTCTATCTTCTGAGCTCAGTAATAGTGAGTGGTAGTGATGAGCTTCTTCAGCATTTGGTACTGGAACCGAATGACAGGGCAGCCCATTTAGCTGACTAGTAAGAAGTCTGAAACCCAAACTCACTTTTGTGGATATATCCAGGTTTGCTGCATTGAAACTTTAAGTGAGTCTGATGATGCAGCCAGGAAAAAAATGTAGGCATAATTAGTATATATCAGTGTGTACAAGACAAAACAAAACCAAAAACCTTTTAAGTCATTAGGATGCACCCTTCCATGCCAATTTTCTGCTCATCCTGACTACAGAGGTTGAAAAGGGTACCAACCTACACTTCTGGAGTCTTCTAACAAGGACTAGGTTTCTTACTCTTCTAAACTTTTGATGTGTCTACAGAGAAACCAAGGAGGCACCAGAAAGTCCCCCTGACTTGCACCTTCCTGTGTTCTGAATCTCCCAGTCCTCCTGTGCATTATTGTCCAGCGGAGGAAACAGTAAACCGAAGTGAAAATTGTAGGGGTGGTGGTGTGTTGTGGAGTCAGTTCCAACTCATAGCCACCCTGCTTAGGGTTTCCAAGGCTGGAAAACTTTACAGGAGCAGAAAGCCTCATCTTTCTCTTGCAAAACAGCTGGTAGTTTCAAACTGCTGACCTTGAGGCTATCAGCCCAACTTATAACCACTGTGCTACCGCTACTAGTCAATTGAAAGCACCATTGTTGGCATTAATCAAACCTGGACTAGCTTCTGTCACTTGGTACACACATGACGTGGAAGCATTGTCTGACTTCTCTGTCTTCACAAGGGGGGAGCAAAACCAAATTCAGAACTAGGCCAAAGCTGATTCTTAAGAAACAATCAGACATGCATCCAACCAACCGCCTTTATTCCAGCACCGGCCATGCCTCCCACAGTAGTCTTACTTCTCTGCTGAGTTTGATAATCCATTGCAATGGCAATATAGAACTCACAGACAATAAATACTCATGATGGTGTGGTTTGTTAAGAAAATGAACAGGGTACAATCTTGGATGGGAGAAAACTCAGGATGCAGCCATTCGCCAATTAGGAGTGTGTCTTCTGTGCCATACTGCAGGCATGCCTAGCTCTTGTTCTCTGTGTCTCTGCACTGCTCAGATAAGTGTTACAAAACTTCCCAAGTTCTATTTGTAAATGTCCAAAGGGTACATTCTTTAAGCCAGCCTCCTGCCCATAGGCACCCAGCTTTGCTCCATGCATGGTTCGGGAAACCCACAGTTGGTCTGTCTCTCCATATCACTGCTTCTGCTGTTGCCAATTTCCTGGGCGGGGAACCTGCTAATGGTTCTTTCTTGATGGTCCTGGAGCATCTGTTCTTGCTTCTGAAATGACTTCTTTGAAACCTCACTGTATGGCAGAACTAACCAATCCCCACACTGGAGTCTCATACACCCTACTTTCATATTCACACCCAGTTATTTGGCAGCAGTTACAAGGGCCATTACTAGAAGAGATATATTAAGTAAATCCACAGTAGTCTTACTTCTCTGCTGAGTTTGATAATCCATTGCAGATTGTACCACTTGTTCTACACTATTGTGTGCTGCACTATACATAAATATAGTGTAGTTAGCAGGGTTGACCAGACAACCTCAAGTGGGAAGTGAAAAAGGGTTGGAATAAGGGCTCTATTACCTGGCTAAAATTCTAGTCCTATTCAAAGGGAGCGTTGCTCAGTAGGCTCACTAATAACCTGATCCTAAAATTCCTATAGAAATGAAAGAAACCCAAAGTAGACAAAACAAACAAGCAACAGCAAAAAAAAAAAAGTGAAATAAAAAAGAAAAATCTACTGACAGGAGTAAGGAAAAGAAATTTAAGGGGGTAAGGAAAATGAAACAATGGAAGATAAAAAAGCAAGAAAAAAATATAATAAGCCAAAGTAGGAAAGTGATAAAGAAAAATAAAGAGACAGGAGACAAATAAGGAAAAATCAAGAGGATATAAAAAAGGAGAAGGGAAAAAAGAGAAACAGAAGAAAAGAAAAATGGAAAGCAGAGAAAGAAAGGATTAAAACAAATGAATGGAAAGTGTTGAATAAGGAGAAAAACAAAAGAAAAAAAACCAAAAGGAAAACACTAGGCCAGGGGCCAGACCCAGAAAGAAGAATTAAAAACTGGGTGAGGGGGCACCGGGGCACCCTGCCATTCAAAGAATTCTTGAGTTGGGAGACGAGGGCTGAAATGGTGTGTGCTTGGCCAACCTAGAAAGAGTTCCTATAGGTCTTGGTGTTGTCCGTAGGGCACCCAATCCGAAGTAGTTCATGCAGGCTCTCCAGAAACTCTTTTAGGCCCAGAGGTAAGTTGTGAGCAGAGTTCTTGCTAGTATAGGGCTAGCTGGGGGCTGGCTCTGCATGTGCTGCAGATCTGGAGAAGCAGAGTTCACTTGTCTCCAGGTCCTACTTACAATGGTGTGGCTCGAACCTCTGACAGAACAAGGATTGTATAGTGAGTGGGTGTATAGGATGCCTCTCTGGCCACTAGGGGAGTATGTGCATCTGTGTCATCAGCATCCAATGTTGCTCCCAAAAGTTTAAGATGGCTGAGCCAAGTCAGGCCATCCTACAGTTCAAAGTTTATTCAATTAGCTTCTCTAGCCTTTCATCTGAAGCTCAGAGTTCCAGGATTATCGGTTATATCTGTTTCATTTCGTCTTTGGTATCTTTGTTATATAGGGTCAATTATAGCCTTTATACTTAGTCTGCCATCTTACCAGAAATCTAGGTCTTTTATTTATTTATTTATTTATTTATTTATTTATTTATTTATTTATTTATTTATTTATTTATTTATTTATTTATTTTTTTGCTATGTTCATCGTTTTTATTTTCAAGATCTTTGCAGGATGACAAATACAACTGGTCTCCCTCTAAAAATGGGATCCTGAAACAAGCAGGGGTTAAAAGTTTCCTGTCAAGTGTGTTTGAGCCTTTTTTCCCCCACATTTTTGTATTCAAGGTCTCTGTGTGATTTGAGTGTGGCCATATCATAACTGGTCTGACTATTGGTCACAGTTCATTTACTGACATCTGTCTTCTCTTTGTACTGTAGTCTATTTTGTGAGTACTCATTTAGGTCACTTGGGGCCTTTTCAAATTGTTTATGTGTGAACTAAGGGTTCAGTTGCAGGGTACTTTGGGTCATGTCTCGAAGGCTTCTGTGTAGAATAACTACATTCACATTTGATGAAAGAGCTTTGACTAGCTACATCAAGAAATATCCCAGAAAGACTTTAGAAATCCTACTCATGAATTAGCCAAGCTAAGAAACCTCACAAAAGAACTCTTGGGCTCCAAGAATCTCTGTCTCTCCAAGTAGAAGTTTCCTCAGTTTTCCTTGCCTCCCCCTGTCCCTCAGAGGCATGTCATGCTGACACCTTGCTCCTGCATCCTCTGACATGTGTAGCTGAGGTTACTGCAGCAACAGCATACATGAGGTAACGTTCCCCGGTAATGACAGTGGCCGGGACATGAGTCAGGTGAAAAGTTTCACTGGTTTTTATTAGTGTATGATGCAGTCTGAGGCCATCTATAGTTCCTTGTCTGTCCAAAACATGATGCTAATGTTTGTCCAAAACTTGATGCTCATCACCTTCAAATGTTAGCTGGTTCAGGGCCTCTCCCTGAAGCTACTGCTGTTGCTACTTTTTCCATAGAACTCCTTACTAATACCTACATTAAGAGACCAAAAGCAGCTCAGGTCATATGCCTTGACCTCAGTTTCTGCTCTTGTATTAGCCTGTGCACTTAATTAGCAACAGTAACCTTAACTAATTGTCAAGAAGGCCCTTTTTACCCAGGGGACTGGACAGTGTTTAGCATCTGCCTCCTAGAAGATGTCTATTTTACTCAGTGGCTATGTGCTGAAGACTAAGGTTGGAATTATTGTAATGCTGTATGAAAATGTATTTAAGTGGAACTTACCATTTAATAATGATCAAAGGCAGTCATAGAGTTATTGGCAACTTCTAATACCAGGATTTGGTTTATTTTTCAGACACGGAGATGACTTGATTGTGACTCCATTTGCTCAGGTAAGCACCACTTGGTGAATGAGTGGGTTTCCTACAGATCTAAAAGTTACTTTGGGAGTTTAGTTTCTGGTTCTTGATTTGATTTTAGATTAAACACAAGTACAGGTATGAATTTAATGGTTTGTTCAAGTAATGCAAAAACATTGCTTGGTTATGTGCCTAGCTTATATTGTTCTGTTTTGATAAATCCTCAAATCAGTATCACGTGATTGATTTAAATGGGACTATATTTTCTTAAGTGATTTTAAGCATTAGAAGCAGAAGGTTCTACATAGTTAAATTGCACCTACTATACTTGTTTTGGTGTTTGAAATTCAATAGCCCACTTTGGCCTGACACTTTATTTATCTCCTTTTACGTATGTCTGTGAGCAAAGAGTCTTCTGTGGGATATGCTTATGCTTATTTGTTCCTGACTAGATATATAAATCATGAAAATATTTTAACCACATGGCTAACATCTAAGAAGTTGATAAGATGTTTTAAAGTATTTTGAAATATAAGTATTGTCTTATAAAGTGAAGGATTTTTAATTGATTACTATTAAGAAGGTTTAATTTTATATATAAGACCCAACACTGTGTGAACAGATAAAATCAGTCAAAATAATATGAATAGTAACCATCACCAAATGTAGAAGTGATCTTCCTAATTTGAGTTTGTTCAAATATCTAGTCTTACTCCTAAATCCAATCTCGAGATGTTGATTTAAGAAAAAATATACCTAAGTATATAGTAAAAAATGAAAAGTATATTTTGTATATGATAACTTATTTACTGAATTCTAAAAAGCCCTGCTTTCATCAACTCAGTTCCAGCTCAGCAACCCTATTGTTATTGTTGTTGTTAAGCGCCATGAAGTTGGCGCCAACTCATAGCTACTCTGCACAGGGTTTCTAAGGAGTGGCTGGTGGGTTTGAGTGGCTTAGGATTTCCGAGGAGTGGCTAGTGAGTTTGTGGTTAGCAGTCCAGTGCTTATCCTACAGCGCCAAAGACCTCCATACAGTTTCTGGGACTATAAATGTTTTCAGAAGCCTACTGTCTCATCTTTCTCCTGTGGGCCTCCTGGTGGGTTCAAACTGCTGACCTTTCAGTTAGCAGTCCAATGCTTAATCCACTGTACCACCAGGGCTCCATACTTACTTGAAGTAGTATTTGTGAATCTTCCACAAATAGATTAATAAATTCAACTGGGCCTCTGACATCAGTGCTCTTAAATTCTATAGAAATCTAGACTTCTATATAATTAGAGAGTTTCTGTAGTAAAAGCTCCCCAAAAACTCATTGAATTTTGCTATACTGAAGGAAAATATATAAAATATCATTTAGTCTATGTTAGTAAGCTGTTTTATAATTAATATGTGTACTTAGCAGGCTTGAAATACGAACTTTGACTATAAACCAACTCAGATACCTGAAAATAATCCTGTAATGGATTTAGAAGATTTTGTGTAAGTGCCTCCTCACACCTTGTTCAGAGGGTGGTCATTGTCCCACAGCCTAGAGATTTTCTTTTTTAGTGACTTCATCAGTCTTCACAAATGACCCCTTTACTAGGGCATACTACATGGTGCTCTGGTAGCATAGTGGTTATGAATCGGGCTGCTTATCTCAAGGTCAGCAGTTAGAAACTACTAACTGTTCCGCGGGAGAAAGATGAGGCTTTCTGCTCCCGTAAAGATTTACAGCCCTGGAAACCCTGTGTAGGGTCGCTATGGGTCAGAACCGACTCGACGGCACTTAACAACAACAACAACTACATGGAAAACTGTATGATAATTAAAATAACAAAACAAAAACAGAGCACAAACACAAAAATCTATTAAAGCCTGAACAAATTTCTCAGTAACAAAGTATATTTGAGGAAACAGAACGAAGGCACAGCTAAAGTCAGTCTGTTACTTCCTATTAGGCACTTGGGAAGAAATATTTTGTTGATACCTAAGACCCCCAGTAAGATGGATTGCCTAAATGTCAGCATCAATGGGCTCAAGTGTGACAACAATTGTGAGACTGTCCCAGGACCGGGCAGTGTTTTGTTCTGTTGTGCACATGGTTGTTATGAGTTGGTGCTGACTTGATGGTACCCAGCAACAACGAGAACCCCCAATGTAGCAAGATTTTCAATATAAGATAGGGCTTGCCATTTAATACTATACATTATAATCCTAAAAATCTAAGATGTTCCTGTCAAATGAAAACAAATCATGCCAATAACAATATTTGTCCTGACAAACCATAGGTTGCAAACTAGGCAAAATAATTTTCCCCTTTCCCCAGCATACTTTGGGGTTTGGAATTCCACACTATATTCGTCATCTGGTAAAGAAAAGAAAATACACTACTCTCAAGAAAATTTCTCGTGAGTAGAAATGTCCAAATAACTACTATTGACGCTTTCTTTTCTATTCTTTTAGGTTCTTTCTTTTTCTGTATTTTCTTTTGTGTAGTTCTTAAAGATAGCCTTCTACAGCTTTAAGAGGTCATAGAACTTCTGTCAAACCCATCTTGTCTTCTATTCCTTCCTTAGAACCCATTTCTTTATACATAAGTACATCGCCAAAACATAAAAGAACCCTTCCCTGTTCTTTCTCTATCGTACTTTCCCTGTGAAGCTAAGAGAATAAAATTCTAAATTATCTTATCATTTATATTTGTATCCACTTGTGTGCATACAAGGAGACATCCCACTTTGCTTTCCAGGGTTGCAATCTAAAACATCTTGGAGAAGCGTAATCCTCAGAAAAGATTCTGCAATATCCCTCCATGTTCTGTTCTGAAGTTTGTAACATTTGCAGGATTAGAAGTTCCTGTTGATATTTAACAGTGCTGTGGGATAAAGTGCTGGACCAAAAAGTCAGATTGAACCATAGATTGGCAGTTCATACTCACCAGGCGGTCCATGGAAACCCTATATACAGGGTTGCTATGAGCTGGTACCTACTCAACAGGAGTACAGTGTGGTGATGTAGGATAATGCTCTGGACATCGAGGTTAGTTTGAGCTGCAAGGAACCTACTTGATGCCACCTAACAACAACAGACCATTTAGTGTTCAGAATCCCGTCAGTTCCCATAAAAAGTGACAGCTTTAATATTTAGTTTATTTCCATTTTGAAATACTCTGCCAGTATTGGTAATCTTTTGGTGCCGGTGTTCCTTAGGCACGGAGGCTAGAGGAAATCCACTTGTGTGCTACAACATGACACCTGGCAACTGGAATTTTCCTCTATTGAGTGAATCTGGCCCAAGTTCATAGGGTCTAGGAGCAGACTCGGGAGACTGTGGTGATGTTTGTTATGTGCTATTCATAGCCCCCCTGTATAGGGTTTCCAAGGTTGTAAATCTTTATGGGACAGAAAGCCTCATCTTTTTCCCATGAAGTGACTGGGAGATTCGAACTACTGACCTTATGGTTAGCAGCCCAGCTCATAATCCATTCTGCTTCCAGGGTTTCTTGTAAATCTCTAAGTAAACTGGCATTCTTATCTGGAAACGCCTTGTAGACACTTGGTAAACTCTAAACAAACCGGAATTCTCAACTGGTGATATGTAAAATTAAAAGACAAGGGACAAAGAAGAGTCCTGGATTCCTGCTGAGATCTTCATGTCATTCAGGCTGATGATATTAGCTCAATTTGAAAATATAGAGTAGCTACACCCAAGTCGCTATGGGTCGGAACCGACTCGACGGCACTTACCAACAACAACAACAACACCCAAGTTATTTTAGTGTTCCTCTTACCAAGTTCTATTTTTTTTTTTTTGGGGGGGGGGGGCGGCAGTGTTACTAGAGGATGTTCATTCTATTGTCTAGAACATTACCAGTATTTCTACTGTTCTAATGTGTCTCTCCCCAACTTCATCCAGCAGTAGGGATCACAGGCCCTCAGGACCATCCCCATCATTGGTGTCTTCACCAGGCCCTCTCTGCCTGCTTATGACAAAAATAGTCATCACATTTTCCTTCAGCGTTTTAGCTTGTCTTTATACTTTACTAAAATTGCAGCTACCATCTTCTAGGTGTCTAAGTACTTTTTAGGTCAAACCATCTATAATTGTCTATTTTGAATGTCTTTTGACCTACAAAATCAGCAATTTCATGTGATTTAACAAAAATGCAACTTGGAAGGAGCTTTTTCTGCTCCCAAAATGAGTGACCTCTCTAGTAAACAATTACAATTTGACTTCCAATTTTTCTAGAAAAAAACCCTAAGGAAGGCGTTTTGTTATTGTTGGCTAAGCAATTTGGCAGATCATGGTCTGTGTGTTGGTGCCATCTACTGGCATAATGTGTCATGAAATGAAAAACACAAGCTTGGAAGTCATTTTTTATAAGCAGTTTTTATTGGGGACGTTTTTGTGTGTGAAAATTATGCATAAGAAAACACATGGCAGTCCATCAACGTCCACATAATTCATTGATGGTGATTACAGTCTTCAGTTTGTGCAACCATTTTCTGTTTCCTTTTCCAAAGATTCCACTACCAATAATATTTTGTGATTGTTGTTAAGTGCTGTTGAGTCCTTGCCAACCCATAGAGACCCTGCATAGGATTTTCGAGGAGCGACTGGTGAGCTTGAATTTATAATCTTACAATTCAAACCGACTTTGCAGTCCAGTGCATTAATTCACAGCATCACTCCAGTAACATAAACTGCCATAACGTCCTCTGTGTTATTGTGATCATTGGGTGCCATTGAATTGATTCCGACTCATAGAGACAGTGTAGAATGGTGGCAGAGTAGAATTGCCCCCATAGGGTTTTCTTGGCGTCCTGGTGTGGTGCTATAGGATAAGCACTGAACTGCTGACTGCAAGGTTGGCAGTTCAAAACTACCATCCACTGATTCAATGGCACACAACATGGAATTAGATCACCATGTCCACCTGTCAGGTTTTTAACATTGTTTCCATGTTTTTCCAAAGCCATCTGCCTTTGAAATCTATTCAGGACAGCATGAATACATGAGGAAAAGTTATGAAGTATAGCTACTAGAG